CTGTAAAACTGTCTAGTAAAAAAAAATTTTTAAAATCATCTAGTAAATTTAAAAAAAAAAAAATCTAGTAAAATTACCTAGTAAAAAAAATTTTAAAGAATAATAAATTTTTTAAAAAATTATCTAGTAAAATTATCTGTAAAACTGTCTAGTAAAAAAAAATTTTTAAAATCATCTAGTAAATTTAAAAAAAAAAAATCTAGAAAAAAAATTTAAAAGAATAATAAATTTTTTTAAAAATTATCTAGTAAAATTATCTGGAAAATTATCTATTGCCCTTCCAATGGCAGTGGTGCTTGGGCTCCAGTCACCAACCAAGCCCTCTGTGGACTGCAGGAGGGCAGGGTTAGATGGGATAAAGGGAAGGAATTCTTCCCTGTGAGGGTGGGGAGGCCCTGGAATGGACTTCCCAGAGGATGCCCCATCTCTGGGAGCATCCAAGGCCAACTTGGAAGAGGCTTGGAGCAACCTGGGCTAGTGGAAAGTGTCCCTGCCCGTGGCAGGGGGTGGCACTGGATGATCTTTCTGATCCCTTCTGACCCAAACCTTCCCAGGATTCCATCAGCCCAGCCAGCAGGCCCTGCTGAGGCAGCTGAAGTTTCAGGCATTCACCAAAACATGAGGATTTCACAGCAAAAAAAAAAGCCCATCCAAAGCCCCCCACACTCCCTAAGCACTGGAAGCGCTGAGAGGGAGTGGGAGCAAGTCAGATGCACACCAAGCCCTCCCTTCCTTAATATAACATTATTTTTTTTTTATAAAGCACCCCAGAATTTCTAGATTTATTTTCTTTAGCTGCAACGGGGTTCCTAAAAATCAGGTTCACTGCTTGGAGCTGGCAGCTCAGGGGGAATTGTATATAAAAAAGAGAGAATAAAAGGGAAGGGGAAAAGCAAAGTTTGCTGCTTTTTATTTTTTTTTTTCCCCCCTAATGGAGGGTGGGGAATCAAGGACACGAACACTGCTTGGAATCTGTCTCCCTCGTGTGAGCTGGAGAGGAATCCAGCATCCCATACCTCCTCTTCCTCCCAGCCAAACCACTGCTTGGAAATACGCTTAAAATAAATTAAAATATATATATATAGAATTAAAAAATATATATATAGAATTAAAAAAGGGGATTTTGGAGTCCTAAAGGCCGTGCCACGCGGCCAGGCCGGGGGTTGTCAGTGCCATCTTCTGTCAGCTGCACTGCACTGCACAAGCCATGGAAATCCAGCTGGAAAACCAGGATTGCATCACCCAGCCTGGCTCAAACCCTTCCCCTTGGAAAAATCCTGAGCCAGCAGCGCTCCCAGCCCTTCACCCCCTCCTCCAGCTCTGCCCACAGGGAGGTGTCGCTGCTTGGGACCCTCCGTCATTACAGAATATATTTTATTTATGGAATTTTACAAATATCTGTACAGTTCACGTGACATAAGTTACGCTCTTTGTTTCAACGCGTCCTCTCCCACAACACCTGAGTTATTGAAATACTGAGATGGAACTGGAGCTTCCAACTGGACACGGGAAGGGAAACACGGATGAAAATCCATAACGAGCTCGATTTGGGTGGGTTTTTTCCCTCCTCATCCTCCTGCCTGCCCCATCCCTTCCCTGCTGGCAGGTTCCAGCCTGTCCAGCTGGGAATGGGAAGAGGGGGAGCCTTGTTTCTCTGGGGGAGGGGGTTCACCCCCACACCCTAAATTTTTGGGTTGCAGATTTCTCAAAAAAAAAACCAACCAGGGTAAAACTGGAAACGAGAAGACGACGGATTCACGATTCCCACCTTGTGCCGAGGGGCCGCACCAGCTCCCAGGAATCCCAGCATCGCTCCTGTCGCTTCCCAGCTCTAGGGGACCTCCCAGGCACAGCCCTCGGGGGACAAACATCCTGATTCCCCCCCCTTTCCTCCACCACTTTTCCATGGGTGCCCCATGGAAACCCTCCAGCCACCTGGTGTTTTTCCAAATGCTCCCTTGGGAGAGAGGAGAGGGCACATGTGCCAGTCCAAGGACTCAGATTTTCCACATCGAGTCGCTCGGCCGGGCCTGCAGCTCTCTCAAGCAGGGAAAAGGAGTTTCCAGTGGCACTTTCCTCCTGGATTAGCAGCACGGGGAATGAGTGTGAGGTGCTGCACAGGTGACCGAGCCAGGGCAGGCCCGGCTGCTCTGTCCCACAGGGAGAAGTGACTTAAGGTGACAATCCACAAAACAAGACACTACACGAGATAAAGGAAGGAATCTTTCCTTGAAGGAATCACCCGAGGACCATGTGGCACCTCTGGGTGGAGGGTGCTCCCAAAAAGGCTCCCTGCTCCTTGACAAGTTCATATTTAGGTTTTGGGGTGCAGGACAAAGCCAACAGCCTTGTGGTGCTGAGGGGACTAAGCCCAGCCTAGGAAAGCCACTGAGAGCAGAGGTGATGATCCATAAGGATACTGGAAATGTCAGAGTCCAGGGACTCGGTGACAACGGTCAGGAGTTTAGGAAGAACAGCATCCAGCTGGGAACTAAGGGAATTCAGGGACTACAGCCATCCAACCAGGGTACAACGCTGCTGGAGGTGCTGAGCCTGTGCCAGGGGCTGAGGAAAAATCCCTGGCACACCCTTGGCTTTGCTTTCTGCAGGGTGGGGAGGGAAGGTGTGGGATCCTCGGCTCCAGGACCACACTGAGGTGGCAGGATTGTCACACACACATCCCCTACACAGCCAGGGAGGGAGGGAAGACACTCCCTGACAAGCACAAACACTTCCCAAAGCACCCGCACCGCTCCTCCATCCCAATCCAAGGGAAGCTCCCTGAATCCACTCCTGCTTATCCACACAGCCACGAGCTCACACCAGGTACAGGACAAGGTTTAGGGGGGAGAAAGGGGGTGTGAGGGGACCTCAAGCAACAGGGGTGGGGTGGGCAAGATTATCAATATGATAACTAGTAATTCACGTAGTGAATCTGGGGAAAGCCAGCCCCGGGGGCAGAGCTGGGAAGTGCCTGGAACACCCTTCTCTGGCTACTCCCTAAGGCTGGAAAAACGCAACCTAAAGAGGTTCACAGTCTGGTATTTTGTTTTAAAAACACCCCCCGCCCCACCCTGAACCTCAGCAGTGTTTAAAAGCCGGTGGCTGTTCCCGGGTGTCACCGTGAGCTTGGACACAGCCTGAGGAGAGACCCCTGGGCTGGGAGCCCACGGCCAGGCAGGGCTCTGCTCTCACCCCCCTTCCCACCAGGAGGAGTTGGGATTTGCCCCTTTTTCCAGCAGCACAGGGGGGATCAGGATATCCCACCGGGCTTCTCCCAGCAGCCTACGTGTCACTCCAACCTGGCCTGGTGTCCTCTGCTCCGAGCGTGGACACCCAAAGTGTGCTTTAAAATCCCAACCCTCTTCACCCTGCTCTCCCCAGGGCTGAAATGGAGCAAACCCCGTTGGATGGTGGTGACATCATGAGCCTCCTCATCCTCAGCTGTGCCTGGAGAGCACAGCTCCGAGGGATGCTCCGAGAAGGGTCTGTCCCCATCATACACCCCCCCCAAAGGGGTCAGGACAGCGTCATATCCCATGGGAACGCTCCAAGAAGGGTCTGTCCCCATCCGTCCCCACCCCGAAGGGGTCAGGACGGCGTCACATCCCATGGGAATGCTCTGAGCACGGCTGAAGCAGCTCCTGCCTCCCCACTCCATCCTTCCCAGGAGAGGCGAGGAGACCAGGGATAAGACATGGGAAAGCGATCCTCTGGTCAGGTCAGTCCTATGGGAAGGGGGGATTCAGCCTCCCCTCACAGTCTTAAACCCAAAGAAGGTCTGTGGAACAGCTTTCAAAGCGATGTCTCCTCTGTAGTGTGACGTCAGTGCCCGCACAGGTACCGTCGTTTGCTTGCAGCAGGAAAAGGGAAGGAAAAAAAAAAAACCCCAAGGAAAACCCCTTCCCCTCACCCCCCCTCCAAAAAAAAAAAAAATGGAAAAAAGTGGATCAGGGTTGCAGCTCGGGCTGGTCCTACCCAATCTGGATCTGGCCAGAGTACATGGTGAGCAGCACCATGATGGTGAAGCCTGTGAGCAGCCCCGCGTTCTGGATGGCGAAGGTGATCAGGGCGCTGCCGTTCTGCTCGTCCTCCCGGCTCACCTCGTTCATCTCGGGGAACTGGGAGGGGGAAAAAACAGGCACGGCAAAGGCTCAGCGACAGGAAAGGCTCTGTTCTTCCCAGGAAAAAAACACCCACCCCCCCCCGCCCCAGCCCGTGGATTTCGCTCAGCCAGGCAAAGCAAAGCGGAGACAGCAAAGCGTGCGCCAAGGGGACGGAGCAAACCCACCCCCAGGCTAAAGATTTCCTAGGAAAAAAGCCCTGGGAAGATCCCAACCACGCACCCAGGCTCAGGATTTACCATGTCAGCCAGAGCTATGTACAGGAACATCCCTCCAGCCAGAGCGAAGATCCAGTTGGCAGAGAAGTGGCTGCCGGCCACGATGCCAAAGGCCAGGCCCACGTAGCAGCAGCAGGCGGAGATGAAGTTGAAGAAAAGAGCCTGGCGGATGGTCATCCCGGCGTTCAGCAGGATGACAAAGTCCCCTGCGGGAGAAAAGGACGGGAGGATGAGGAGGGAAGGGCTGTTGGCAGCATCGGGACAGCACCGAGGGGCCGCCTTGAACTTCAGGTCATAAATCCCCTGAGCTGGAAGGGACACACAAAGGATCATTGAGTCCAACTCCTCTCCCTGCACAGGACAACCCCAAAAATCACATCCTGTGCCAGTTCCTGCGTGGGCTCCCCCACTGCCCTTAAATTCAGTCCTTCACACCCAAACCTGCCTTTCCCCTGCACTGACCACACCACTGCCCCTAAATTCAGATATTCACACCCAAACCCACCTCCCTGCACTGACCATACCACTGCCCCTAAATTCAGATATCCACACCCAAACCTGCCACCCCCCTGCACTGACCACACCACTGCCCCTAAATTCGGACCTTCCCACCCAAACCCGCCTCGCCCCCTCCCAAACCAACGAGGTGTCGAGGGTTTTGGTTTCTTTTTTCTTTGCCTTCAGATGTCTCCATCTAAATTTAAATCTCAGACATCATATTACCTCGTTATTTTTAGAGCGGCGATTACTCAGCGCCGTTTCCAGCCTCGCCTTCCCCTCGCCGTTTATCCCACCCCAAAAATCCGCCTTCCTCTCCGGGGAAAAGGGACCGACCCCAAGGGAGAGCGGGACCGGGAGAGCAGCGGAGGGGCAGATCCGAGGGACTCACACACCCAGCTCGTGCGGGAACTCCTCGCAGAGGATGGCCACGGAGGTGCTGATCCCTTGGAAGACGGAGACGGTGAAGGAGGCGCCGATGGCCAGCCCGTCGATGAAGTTGTGGAGGCCGTCGCTGAGGGTGATCATCCAGGCCAGCGTCCCGATGTCGGAATACCGCACCTCCTTCAGCCAGTAGCACGCGCTCTGGGAGGCCTGCAGGTCCTGCCACAGCACCCCAACGCGGGGGCTCAGCACCCTAACGCTCCAGGGGGGTTGGCTGATCCCTCCTCCAGCCGGGAAAACCACCCCCACGCTCATTAAATCCACATTGAATGGGTGGAGCCCTCTGCTTCCCACCCCCCGCAGAGGGTTTGGGGTCCGAGACTCCCTTTCCGTTGACGGGCGGTTTTTTCCCATGTTCCCATCCCACGGGACAAGGCGCTCACCTGGACAGAGAGGGAGCCCACCACAGCCTTCTCATCCCCGGAGGGGGGCTTGCGCTCCAGCTCGCTGGTGATGTGCGGGATCATGTGGTCCAGGTCCCCGTTCTGCAGCTTCTCCGTGACCCCCTCCTCCTGGTCCTTCTTGGAGGGCAGAGCCTCGGGGCCGTAGTGGCTGTGCCCGTGGTGGTGCTGCGGGATCAGGGGATTCGGGGGTGTCAGACACCCCCACATTCCCGCTGTTCCCCACCACCCACCAGCCCCTGCTCAGCCTCACCTGGTCCTTCTGCTTCAGGAGCATCTTCAGGACCTTCTCCGTGAAGAAGAAGAGGTAGAAGCCCCCGAACACCACGGCGGATTTGGAAACGTAATAATCTTCCTGAGGGTTGAATCCAAACGCCTGCAGGCAGGAGGGGCCATGGGAGAGGATGAGGAACAGTCCCTGGCAGGGTCCTTCATCTACCTTAGGCCCCAGAGGGGGTGGCACAGCTTTCTGACCTCTCTAAGCAGCAGCTGCTTTGGGGACAAGCTCAGAAAATGCCTTTGTGCACCTTTAATCTCCCTCATTCCCTCCTCCAAGCTGGCTGTGCCCCAAGGCATCGGATCCAGCACCCGCCCTGGGGCAGGGATGCCAAAACCAGGGCTCCACGCTCAGAGAGGACCTGCCTTCAGGGCCAGAAAAGGCAATAAAACAGTGATTCTCTGCTTGAAGCAGACTGGGCTCTGCCTGGAGCGATTCCCTTCCAAACTCCAGCTCCAAGGGGCTTCCAGCCTCCATACCTCGCTCTGGGCTCCCCTCCGACGCCGCCTTCCCCTTCTCCAGCCAGAAACATCCCCCGAGAGAGAGAGAGAAAAGCACAGACCCGCCCGGTCCTCTCCCTACCTCGGGAATGAGCTGGAAGAGGGCGTTGGAGTAGAGAGTTCCAATCGCCAGAGCTATGAAGTAGAGGAGCAGCCGCTTGTAAAAGGTCTTCTTCATGAAGGGCACCACGCTGGCTCCCACCAGCGAGCACAGGGAGATGACGGACACGCAGAGGAAACCGTAACCCCAGACTGAGGCGTGAGAGCCAAACCCACCCCGGGGGAACGGGAAAGGCGAGGGAGGAGATCAAGGCGGGCACGGGGAGGGAAGGAATCCACACCGACAGGACAGACAGAGGAGGGAGGGAGAGAGGGGAGAGAAGAGGACATTCATTAGTGATTGTTGTTCATCTCGGCTTGGCTCGGACCCGGCGCCGGGCGGCTTTGGGAATGGCTCTTTGGGAAGGGTTGGATTCTTGGAGCGAGCGGCTCTCGCAGCCGGGTTTTGGCAGCCAGGCCGCGTCCCAGCCAGCCCCCAGCTCTGCTCCACGAGCCATTCCCGAGCCACGGAGCGCCCAGGTTCCCTGGCACCTCGTACGCTCCATCCCCATCCCAGGCCACGCCGGGATGCTCCGAGCGCTGGCGAGGCTGGAGCGTACGCGCGGCATCCCGATTCCCGGAAAAATCAGGAATTAGAGGCGCTTGGTTTTTATGTCCAGCGAATAAAAGTTGCAGTTCTGGAGTTGAAAGGGAGCCTTGGAAAAACATCCCACTGCCAAGACGGGTGAGGTGATCGTTGCCCTGGCAATGCCAGGGGGAAAAAACCCTGTGGAATTTTAAGGCTGGATGTGCAGGAGCTCAGATCCAGCTCGTCCTCTACCCAGGAGCCACCTGGACAGTGTTCCAAAGGTGTCCAAATCCGTGTGGATTTATTCAACTCCAGAACTGGGCAATTACAACACAATTAATTTGCAGTATTTCTTGTTGGTCCCATCAGAGCACCAGGAAACCTCAGGGAAGCCTGAACCCTTGTGGAAACACCGGGCTGGGAAATCAGGGAGAGGCGGGAGGGGGCCGAAAAAAATACAGGCAATAAAGGCCTTGTAAAATTTGGCTGATTCCAGAGGAAGCTGATGCTGTTGTCCGTGTTTTTATATGGATATTTCCTCCTTTTATATGGATATTTCCTCTGTTTTGCAGTACTCTCCCACTAGTGCTGGGAGACTGATGGCTGAGCACATCCCTCCAAGGGATAAACTCCTGGCCACTCCAGGAGCAAAGAGCTTCTCCCAGCCCACTCCCACTCCTCAGACCCGGCAGGGCTGGAGGACACAGCCTCCCTGCCCGCTCCAGAGGGTTTCCTGGTGCTCGGAGGGGGCGAGAAAAGCCCCTGAGACGAGCCCTGAGCCTCGGGTGACGGAAGGGACCGGCTGGATTCGGCGGGGTTTGGAGGCAGAGAGGGCCCCGGAGCCGGGAGAGAGGGCAGGGACGTTCTACCGCACCTCTGGGATGAGCTGGAAGAGCGCGTTAGAGAGCAGCGTGCCGATGGACAGCGCGATGAAAAACGTGAGGACCCGGCGGAAAAAGGCCTTGGCGGAGCACGGCACGATGAGGACTCCGAGCAGGGAGGCCACGTTAATCATGGACACACTGAGAAAACCAAAGCCCCACACTGCGGAGAACGAGAAGAAACCAGAGGGGCCAGACATTACCGAGGCTCTCGGAGAGCCCGGATCCGGGCGGGCGGGAAAGGGCTGGCTCCGGGTCTATTCCCGGGCCACGTGGCACCGGAGGGTCTCTCCCTGTGCTCTGGATGTCTCAGCTGCGACAAAACCGTCGTTTTTTTGGTGCAGGGAAAGTGGGAATGAAACCACTGGGTTACTTGGAAAAGGCTTTCCCGAGCCAGCCCCAGGGTGGGGCTCAGGGCAGCTGATCCAAGACCATGGGCATCGTCAGGAGCGGGATACGCGGGAGCTGGTTGAGCATCCACTGGTGGCTGGAGGCCAGCGGGTCCCTCCAAGTGCCAGGCCACCCCTTCCCACCCACAGGGACTCATGGCAAGGTCCCCTCCTCATCCAGCTATCCCGGAGGCACAGAGGTTATCCCGGCGAAACCATGCCACGGCACAATCCCGTGGGGATTCCTGCCTGCTGTAGGCAAGGAATTCCCAGGAGCGGGAACCACCTGTGCTGGAGGTCCCGGGGTGCCTCATCGCTCCTGAGCTCCATGCCCGGGCCTGGGCAGTGCCTGTGCCCCTCCAGCTCCCCTCTTACCTTCAGCCGAGCTGGGTCTGCCCTCCTCCGTCTGCTCGTTTTCCTCATTTTCCAGGTTTTCGGAGGCGCACGCCCCCGACTCCAGCTGCTGCAGGATGGTGGGGCAGAACTCCTTGAACTCCCTGTGCCCCACGGCAGAGCCCTCGCTCAGGTTGTGGATGGCAAAAAGCTCCACGGAGCTGAAGCACTGGGGAAGGGAACAGGAACGTGCCTGGAGACTCCCGCAGCTCCGCAGGGAGGTTTCGGGATCTGCAGGCAGGTTTTGGGGCCCTACCCGGGAGAGGTTCAGGCGCTGCTGCGGTGACTGGGAGACGTTGGCGTGTCCCACTCCCACATCCAGGCGGTTCAGCAGGGCCTTGAGCTGCTTCAGGCTCAAGGTCTGGCTCTCTCCGTAGCGCTGGAGCAGATCCTGCAGGAAGGAGGCTGCGGAGATTCCCGGGCTGTCCCTGCCCGCCTGGACCTGCGGGCAGGGAAGGAGGCAGAGCAGCAGGAGCAGGCAGCAGCTCCGGGGGCCCGCGCCGGGGATCATGGTGCCTCTGGGATGCTGGGAGGGAAAACACACACTGCTGTTGGCTTTGGCGTTCCCAGCGCTCCAACCGCCGCTCCTCCACCCCACAGCTCCGTCGGGAGACGGCACATTTCTTCCTCAGGGAAAAGGGGATGCTCTGAGAGCACCCAGATCCTGAGGGGGGGGCTTGTATACAGGACCACCCGCTTCTCTCCCACTCTGAGCCACCCTCTGCTCACCATGGGGGGCTGCCAGGACACGGCTCCCGGGGGTTCTCCAGCTCCGCAGCACCTCGGGACCCTGGGAAGAGCAGCAGGTGGTGGGAAGCAGGCAGGGCTTGTGCCTCTGCCAGCCCCAAATCCAGCTCTCCGTGGCGTGAGGAGTCACGCTCCAGCTCCCAGCCACGCGTGGGTCCCCTCGGCGTCACCAGGAACGGGACACAAATCCCTCCAGGACCTGGACGCCGGAGCTCGGAGGACGTGGGAACCCAGGGGACAGAGGTGGAACTTTCACGGGGTTATATTTTAACCCGGATAATTACCATGAACCGGCTCCTTCCCCGGCTCCAACTGTAGGTGCCTTTATAGTGTTTGCCCTGAGTCAATCCTTGCCCTCTCTGCTCCTTTCATACGCGCCGGGGATCAATAAAAGTGGGGTGGCACAAACCCGGGGTGCAAAGGAAGGGGCTGGGGGAGATGGGGCGAGGGGGGGACGACACGCCAGGCACGACCTGCACGTCCACTGTGGGAGGCACCCGAGAGGCTGGAGCAGGGCCTGGGCTGCCTTCCTGGGAAAACTGCACCGAGAGGTGGGCGGCGAACTCGGGATTCACAAGGACCAGGAGAGAGTAACAGTCTGCTGGTTCCGTAAATGCAGCAGCCACCCCGATCCCAGTGCGGGGCTCCAGGAGTGTCCTGCCTCCTGGCTGCCCTTCCCAGGGGCTCCCGGATCTCCCTGGGATACCCCACAGCCTGTGCTGAGAGCTCGCAGGCTCCGGGCTCCTCCAAAAACGAGCCCAGGACATTTTTGAAGCCCGGCCAAGCAATTGTTCCAAAAATAACCTGGGGCCAGGACTGTGAGGAAAAGGGGCACAGGAGTACCCCGCTCCCCATCCAGGACCCTGCTCCCCATCCAGGACCCCGCTCCCCCTCCGAAGGCTCCCACATTCCCACAGGTTTTACCAGCTTACCACCACCTTGTGAGCTTTGTTCTGGGGAGGTTTTAGCCTCCTCCTGCCGGGGCTTAGCTCGGATGCTTTGGCTTAACCCCTCTCCTCCCAAAACATGGGAAGAGAGCTCATCCAGAGGGGTGCTGGTGCTGAGTGGGGGTACCTAAGGGACCTCTGCCTCTTCAGCAAGCTCAGACCCTTCCTCTGCTTCTTCCTCCCTATCCCAACCCACCCATCCAGGTGGATCCTCCCGGGCTACATGGGACATCCTGGTGACTCCCACAGGCGCTGGCACACGGCCCAGGGTGCCAAAGGTCTGCCCCAGTGGCCGTGCGTCCCGGGACGGGGGACATTGGCTGCCCTTCCCTGCCCGTGCCAGCCGAGTGCTCCCCATATCCCTGATCCCGCCTGGAGCCATCCCGCCGGGCCGCACACCGCCTGTCCCGGCCCGTGCCAAGGCACGCAGCCCCCGCCGGAGCCAAAACCGCTCCCAGGGGTTTCTCCCGAAGCCGGGCTGAGCCGGATACACCCAGGGTGGAAAACCGGACCTCGACTTCTGCCCCAGCTGCCAAAGGAAAGGCAGGAAGCGCCGCGCAGGCAGAGCCGGGCAGCGGCAGGAGCCGCACGGGCTCGCTCCGTTTTAGGGCAAAAACGAGGTGGAGGAGCCGCCCCTGCGGAAGGGCCCAAAGAGGGACATCCCGAGGGGCTCCGGCCCCCCGAAAGCCACGGGGAGCTCAGGGCAAGGCGGGAGGGTGCCAAACACATCCATCCATCCATCCGTCCATCCATCCCGGCATCCCGGGGCAAAGGGGGTGTGCAGAGAACACCCCGGAGCGCGGCCCCTCGTCACCCCACCCGCGGAGCGTCCCAGCCTCCTGCCCGCTACCTCCAAGGGCGTCCTCCCGCCGGGATCCGCTCCCGGAGCCCGGAGCCAGCGCCTGACCTACTTTATCTCCCTCTGGGATGGGGCACAGGGACAAACCGCTGCCACGGGAAGGGACGGATGCCCGGCGAGGGATGTGCCCGGGAGCGATGCCACGACAGCACACAACAGAGCTCCCAAGGCCACGCCAATCCTTCCCATCTCCCTGGGCTTCACTTCCCAGCGGTCATCGATCCGCCAGCGGGAAGGTGACGCCGGGAATAAGAACCGCTGGCAAAGCCATGACCCCGGCGACGTCAGCCCCGCGCCAGCTCTTCCCGAAATCCCGCTCGCTGGCGCAAGACTGGAAGGGGAGGGGGGCACTGGGGGCTCCCGAAAACCCCACCGGGATGAATCCCGCTCCTGGAGCCGGCGGGGCCGAGCTCCTTCCGGAGCAAACGCTGCTCCACGTGTCCCGCGGGCAGGAGGGTTTCCAGGAGGGTTTCCAGGAGGGTTTCCGTGCCCTGGGGCACGTCCCGGGGCCACGTTTCTCGGGTCACGGATCCCCCTCTGCCCCCCCTGGAGCCTCCGGGCAGTGTCTTGTCCCTTCCTCTCCCCGCAGGCCCCGGGGCGGGCAGGCGGGCAGCAAACAGGGGAATATCCCGGCCAGCCCACCCTACACGGACCCCCCC